GCGGGCAGCGCTGGCACCGGCGGCAGCGGGCTGCGCGAACGGCACGAGATGCACTCCCAGCTCTCGGCCTGCAGGGCGGGGGAGGGATATGCTCGGGGGCGTCCAAGAGGGGGGCGTCCATGAAGGGGGGGTGCGCGTCGTGGTCTGAGGCATATGCGCGGACGGGGGAGGGATCGAAAGAAGAGAAGGGAGCCATGAAATCTGGGGGCATCTCATGGTCACGGCCATGATATCTACACCCCATCACCCCCGGCTTGGCCGCCTCCAGATTCGCCTGGTCTGCATGCGAATGCACGCGGGTCTCCGGGAACTCTGGGTCCAAAAGTGTTGACGTCTGGGCAAAAAAATTAGCCTGACGAGGGACCCAACCATATACAGGTGTGAGTACCGCAATAGTGATTCACTTTTTCGGTGGCGATCCCTATGAGGCAACGAACCGTGCTAGGGGTGTGCCGACATGAGTGGCGTGGTACACAACGCGAACGAAAACGATTGATCTGAGTACGTAGGGAGACTGAGCGCGGGTGAATCTGCGCGCGTGCGTCTGACTGTGAATGAATCTGCGTGCGAACGAGTCTACGTGCATGAATGCGAATATGACAAAGCGTGGCGCAATTGTGTATGAATGTCAATAGTTTGACAATGTCTGCCTCTGAGTACTCGTGACGCTGGGCGTGGCCGCCGCAAGGAGCTTCCCCGGGACTCCCCGACGGCATCGCCCGCGCGCCGCGACGCCAATGTCGGCGCGCCCACCGGCGAGGATCGCGCCCGCTTCCTCCCCTTCCTTTACTCCCTCTTTGCCCGCGCACTCAAAAGTCCAAGGTTGCGGGCGCAGCGCAGCGCGGAGTCCCCGCGACGCGCGCAGGTCGCCCCGGAGGGGTCCCAGCGACGCGCGCGGGTCGTCCACTGCGCGGAGCAAAAAGAGCTAGCTGGCTGGCTGATAGCGGGCAAGGCTCTTGCCGCTGGGCAGAGAGACGACGGGACGCATGCGGGCACACCCACTGGGACCTTCGGTGGAGCTCCCTATGGGGCCACGAAACGTGTGAGGGGTGTGCCGAAATGGGTGTGCGGGACGCATGCGGGCACACCCACTGGGACCTTCGGTGGAGCTCCCTATGGGGCCACGAAACGTGTGAGGGGTGTGCCGAAATGGGTGTGCGGGACGCATGCGGGCACACCCACTGGGACCTTCGGTGGAGCTCCCTATGGGGCCACGGAACGTGTGAAGGGTGTGCCAAAATGGGTGTGCGGGACGCATGCGGGCACACCCACTGGGACCTTCGGTGGAGCTCCCTATGGGGCCACGAAACGTGTGAGGGGTGTGCCGAAATGTGTGTGCGGGACGCATGCGGGCACACCCACTGGGACCTTCGGTGGAGCTCCCTATGGGGCCACGAAACGTGTGAGGGGTGTGCCGAAATGGGTGTGCGGGACGCATGCGGGCACACCCACTGGGACCTTCGGTGGAGCTCCCTATGGGGCCACGAAACGTGTGAGGGGTGTGCCGAAACGGGTGATGACGATGATGATGAAGATGGGAGGAGGGAGGGGGCAGCGGGAAGGAAGGAACGCGGGGCGACGTCTCTTCAAAACGAGGACCCAACACCACAGGATGGTTGGGAAAAACTGCGTACACATGCAGTTTCGGAGGTCCGCCCGGACCTCTCGGATCGGCGCTGGACCCCCCTGGCGGCGCCTCAGGCGCCGCCCGTGGCTTGCTCCGCGCGCTGGGGACCTTCTCCTATGTTCATTCCTTTTCCTTATCAATAACTCCTCCCTGTAACACCCCGCACCCCGAAGCCAGTCGAAAGGGCGGGCCGGGCGTTTCGCCTGAGACCTCTTCACCATTATGATGCTGAAGCCCAGAAGGTGCGAAAACTTCACGGATGGAGGGCTGGTCGTTTTCAAAATGTGGCTCTCGCCTCAGCGCCGCGCACATTTTTTTCGGGTAAGCTCCAAGAGCTTCACGGATGGAGGGCAGGCCGTTTTCAAAGTATGGCTCTCGTCCCAGCGCCACACACAGTCGTCGTCCAAATTTGCAAGCGTTTCGCGGATGGAGGGCGGGTCGTGTTTAAAATGTGCCTCCCGCCTTAGCGCCGCGCACATTCGCCCTAGAACAATTGCAGGAGCTTGGCGGACAGAGGGCGGTTCTTGTTCGAAGTGTGACTCTCGCCTTAGCGCCGCGCCCATTCGTCCTCAAAAGATTGCAGGAGATTCACGGATGGAAGGCGGCTTCTTTTCAAACTGTGGCTCTCGCATTAACGCCGCGCACATTCGTTCTAAGAGTTTACAATAGTTTCCAGGATTCCCAGGGTGAACGTCCCAAAGAAGGTGTTTTGGCACGATGTCGGACTATCTGGCCGCACCAGTTACATTGATTCGTGGTGCTGGCGTCGCAGGAATGGTGCTGTGGCGCGATTCAGAATCGTCAAGACGCAACAGTAACGGTGATTCGCGGCGATGAAGTCCCAAGAATGTTGTTCTGGCGCAGTTCAGGCAGGATTTTCAAGCGGTTGTCTTCCAGTGAGGCACTTCACCCAGTAGAAATGAATCGCTGTAGGGGCCTAGGAAGAGAGAACTTGGAGGAAGGGTTTACTGCAGTATCGTTGACGGGATTTGGGTTTACGCTGGTCCTCCTCCTCGTCCTCCTTTTCCTCCTTCTCCTCCCTCTCCTCCTCCTCATCCTCCTCTCGTTGTCCTCCTCCTCCTCCTCCCCCTCCTCCTCGTCCTCCTCCTCCCTTCTTTCCCGGAGTGCACCCCTCGAGGCCTGAGCGTTTCCACAACGGCTGGGGGAACACATATACCAACAGCTCGGCCAAGCTTTGGCCCAACGTTTGACCACGTAGGCATTTCCAGTACGGCAGGGGGCGGCGGTGATTCGCCGCAGGCGTCGTCGCCACGTGGATAGGTACATGTGTTGCAAATTCAAGCGCATTTTTCATTGTCGCGATGTTGGCTGACAACACTCAACGGCTCCAAGGTGACGCCAAGAGCGCCCTGTGACCCGTCTCGCTGACACACTGTACAAGATTCACACGCGTGCGCGTAGTATCACTGCCGCAGCAAGTGCCGGTTGACAGCCCTGCCGTGAAAAATACTGAAAGCTACTCAGAGTGTTGCATCACAACTTCAAGAGAGGACACCCTCTCGAAAGTAAGAGTCGTACTTCGTCAGGAGCGTCCCAGCGGGGAGTCGATCCAACGGGTCCAGCTCGAGCAGATCCAGGAGCAGACCTTGCAAGCCCGGATCCTTTACACCCTCACTAATCGGCACCACGCTCACGCTGCCTTTGCCACCGCCCTTCTTCCCTTTCTTCCCGACCCCCTTGCTGCTGCAGGTTTTGCCATGCCTCTGCTTCAGCTCGCCCCCCTCGAATAGGTGCTGCCTCTTCGAGCGGGCGATCAGCTTTTGGGGAAGACTTCGGCCAACCAGCTCTTCCATGAGCTGGAGCTGATCCGCCTCGGAGTAAGGCTCGAAGACCGTCCGAGACTCGTGCATCCAATGGAGGACACATCCGCAACCCCAAAGGTCACATTTGTCATCCCACTCCAAGCCTAGCTGGATCTCGGGTGCCCGGAACTGCCTAGTTCCTATCGGTTGGGTGTGATAATCTTCCGTGTGCGTCATGTTGCCGAAGTCGATGACCCTTACGCTTGCATCCAGCGGTCGACGCGAGTCCGAGCGCAACGCTGCGGTTTTCAACATAATGTTCTTATGTTTTATGTCGGTGTGCACAAACCCGAGCCCATGGAGGAAGGCACAGCATTGAAGCAGCTGGAACGCTATACTGCGGATGTCATCGTTATGCCAGCTCTGCCTGCGCGCGTAATCCTGCCAGAACGCGTGCAAAGAAGCGGCACACGCCTCAAATATCAAAGCGTGAAAACGTTTATCTGCATTCTGTGGGTCAGGAAATATCACAGAACCGTAGAACTTCACGATGGAACTGGGGCAGCTCTCGTGCGACATCAACTGCGTCAAGTAGCATGCTTCTATTGTTGCGTCACCGATATATTGGTTATGTTTGGCTATCGGGCGCATGATCTTCGCCACAAGACCCTCTTTCGCCTTCGGCCACTTGCCTGATGCTGGCAGAGTGCTGACATGAAAGCACCGTCCGAAGGTACCATCAGTGATGTAAGCATCTAGTTTCAAATCATCGGAAATCGTAAATCCAATGGGCACAGAGGGCGATTGCCACTTCGAGGTGCCGAACACAAACTCCTGGGTGGTCGGAGTCGATGCGGGGTAATTCGCAGGATCATAGTTGCGCCTCTCTGGAACTCTAGACATCTGCGCTCGAGTCGAAGAGGTGGCGGCTGCGCGTGTCGGCGCACTCCCTGCACCAAGCTCCGCATCCTTCTGTTGCCCTGCCTCAGGTTGCGGAGGTTGCGCATCCCTCGGCCGCCATCTGTTAGTACGCGGCGGCATGCTGCGAAGCATACGCTGGAACGCAATGAACGGAAAAGAGAGCACTAAGCTATGCAAAAGCGCGTTCGTCACTCTGCTTAGCCGGAACTGCCAACGTGCGACGCCAGTCATAGCATGTCTCATGCCAGCAATTCAGCACAAGCTCTGACTAGAACAGCCCGCGCTTCAGAATTCCCAACATCAATATATATATATATATATATATATATATATGTATGTGTATATATATACATATACATATACATATACATATACATATACATATACATATACATATACATATACATATACATATACATATACATATACATATACATATACATATGCGTATACATATACACATACATATACAAATACATATACATATACATATACCTATACCTATACCTATACCAATGCATACACCTATACATATACATATACATATACATATACATATACTTATACATATACATGTATACATACATATGTCTTCCGTTTGGGTCCCGCTTCGTACAGATGGGAGTGCAAAATTAACGCGACCTCATAGAAAGTAGTTCCGCAACACCTCACCAATTGGAGGATGCATTTAGCCCCTGTCTGGAAGGGCAACTGGAGCCCTGTGGTTTGCATCAGCTGGAAAAGCCGTTGGGGATTATAGCTGGAAGCCGCTGGGAAAGGTTAAAAACAAAGTACCTGAGGCGGATGATAGCCCCTGGGATTATGACTATGATCTGTGGACTTTTCTCTGGAAGCAGCCCTCGTTCTTTGTCTGACATTACACTCCTGAGGTTTTGGACCCTCCAGAGCTTCGGGTCCTCCTCCTCTTCTGGCCGCCCCGTCGACGTATGCGCTTGTCAGAAGAAGTATGGGGAGAGGAGGTGACGCGGGGCGCTGCTGATTCAAAACGAGGACCCAGCACCTCAGGATGGTTGGGAACAAACTTTCAGCGACAGGCACACGCAACAGGCATTCGGCCTGGAAGACGGCGCCCGAGGTCTCCGGATTTTTTCGGCGGCGGGATCCTGGGAGCCCAGCCGCGACGAGTCGGGGATCTTCTGCCCCGGGTCAATCCAGACCCGGGTCAGTCAGGCCTTGCAGAGTCCTGCAAGATCCTGCAAGATCCTACCCAAACCCGGGTCAATGCGAAGGATCCTGCAGGATCCTGCAGGATCCTGCACCCAGACCCCGGTCAGTGCGACCCTGGCCCAGCAGGATCCTGCAAGATCGGTCGCTCTGGCTGACCCTCGTTTGCATTGACCCCCGTCTCAAGGCTCCCGAACGAGGCACTCGAAGAGGAGGCCGGGTCGAGAGCCACGCGGTTCCCCCGCAGTCCGGCGAGAGGAACGCAGCGGCTGGCCTTCCCTGGGCGAGGGCCTCCGCGGGGCCGCCTGGGTAGGGGGCCACATGCGAACCCTACATACCCCCATACCCCCCACGATTTCGGAAGTGGACCCCACCCTCCCCCTCAGAACTCGTGGGGGCTAGGGGTAGGGGTTCGCATGTGGCCCCCTACTGGGGCCCAGTGGACCGTCCCAAGGGAGGGCCTCGGGGGGGGGGGAAGACTGGTACTGGCGCCAGGGGGGGGGGGGGGCGGGAGCCCGAGGGGACGAGGAGGCCCTCTGGGCCCTGGAGGGCGGGGCACCCGAGGGCGAGCAGGCTGAGGAGATGCGAGGGGGCCCAACGCTTGGCAGCTTCGTGTGGCCGTGGTGATGATCTCGTCCGTGCGCGCTCCGTGCGAGGGACGTGCCGAAATTGGCAGGTGGGGCGCGTGCAACTTTCCCGCTGGGCCGTGTTTGCAGCTCCCCGTGGGGCATGATTCACTCGGAGGTTTGTGGCGAAATTGGCGGGCGGAACGCGTGCGAAACCTGCCAACTGGGGCGTCCTGTCGAACCCCCTATGGGGCCGCGAAGTGTGCAAGGTGCGACCCGAAGTAACGTGTGACCCGAAACGGGAGCTGTGCCCACATGCGAACCTGCCCACTGTAGTCGTAAGTGGAGCCCCCTCTATGGGGCCACGAAACGTGTGATGGAGCGTGCGGCGAGGTGCCGCCACGCGAATTCTCCAACGGGTATCCTCGGTGGAGCTTCCTGCGGAGCCACGACACGTGTGATGAGTGTGCCGAAAGCGGGAGCGGCACCGCAACGAGAACCCGCCCACGGAGGCCTTCGGGGGAGCTCCCTATGTGGCCACGAGAAGTGTGAGGGGTGACGTGATGCTGAGATTAGAGCTCTCCCACTGGGGCCCTAAGGGGAGCCCCTTGTGGAGCCACAAAAGCGTGTGAGGGGTGTTCCGGAATGGACGCGGTGCCACCATGCGATCCAAGCCACGGGGGCTCTCGGTGGAGCTGCCTGCGAGGCCACGAGTGAGGGGTGTGCTGAAATTGGTGTGATGCCGCCATACGAGCCCTCCAACAAAAGTGGCGCCCCGCTATGGAGGCCACGACATGTGTGAGTGGGCGTCAGATCAAAACAGATTGCTTGCGTGGCCCGCGCAGGACTTCCCGAGGGTGCCGACACCTCGGCTAAGAGGAGCTGAAGCACGTGTGCGCTTGCTTGCGTGCGCGTTCCGAAGTGAGCATGCGGAGAGCAGAAACAAGGAGAGGAGGGAGGTGCAGGGAAGGCTCAAGGAGGACAACAGAGCGAGGAAGAAGGGAGAAGGGAGGAGGCGCGGGGCGCGGCAGATTCAAAGCGGGGGGCCCAACTTACAGAAGGGCTGGGGAACATAAAAACTCGCAGGCCTACGCACTGTAACCCTCGCGAGTTGTTTCTCTGGCTTGCCCCTATCGACGATTGCCTGAAGGGCTCTCACTTGCCTAGAATGCCCTGGGCCGGTGTCCCTCCTGTCAACCTCGTGTGCTCCTACCGTGCGTGCCTGCTGGCGTCTGGTGCAAAATCCGTATCCAGCCCAGTTGCCAGCAAGCTCACTCCAAGCGTGGCAGCTCGCTCTGGGCAGCCATCGCGGTATCAGCGTCGATATTGGCAAGCTCACTCCAAGCATGCCCGCCAGCTCGAGGCGCGCATCGCGTTGCCAGCGTTGATGCCAGGTTGCCAGGAACCTCACTCCAAGCGTAGAGTGTCGCCTCAGGCGCACATCGCGCTGCCAGCGTTGCTGACAGGAAGCTCGCCAGGAAACTCACTTCAATCATGCCCACTCGTTCCTGGAAGCCATCGCGATACGAGCACTGCTGCCTGGAAACAAACCAGGAAGCTCACTCCAAGCGTGCCCACTCGATTCGGGCGCACTCCGTATGGCCAGGGCTACCGCAAGACAGTTTGCCTCCAGCGTGCTCGATCGCTCGCGGCGCTCATCCTGTTGCTGGTATGGTTTCCCTCACGCTGTCTGCTCAGTGGCTCCCTCGCTATACGTGCGTCGCGTGCCCCTCTTGTGCGTCCTTGCTTGCTTCTGGCGCACGTCCTGTGGCCAGCGCTGTTGCTATCAAACTCAATCCGAGCGCGCCCGCTCGCTCAATTCGCGCAAGTCGTAGCCAGCGGTGTTGCAAAGAAGCTCACACCAAAAGAGCTAGCTAGCCACTGGTGCGCATCGTGTTTCCATCTTTGTTGCGAGGAAGCTCGACAGACAACTCACTCCAAGCGTGCCCGCTCAATCCCAGCAGCCATCGGGTTACCAGTATTGTCGCCAGGGAGCATGCCAGGAAGCTCACTACAACTAACTTATGGCGCATATCGGATGGCCAGCGCTGCTGCCAGAAAGTTTGCTAGGAATCCCATTTTGAGTGCCAGTTCGATTATCGCGCACCTCATGTTGCCGGAGTGGTTCCAAAACTCGGCTTGCCCAAAGGGATTCTTCCTGTCTGTCTGCCAAAAGGCTCCATCGATACAGGTGCGCTGGGCCAGTGCCCCTCCCGCTTCACAACCAGAGAAAACTTGGATGCAGGTGTGTATTGACTCTTGTGCCAAGTCGACTGTCCTGTGGGCCTCTTAGGCATCCTTTGACGTCCATGGGGCCCTGCTGGGAGTCATCTGGACATCTAGCGCTGAAAGACGGGCCTACGTGGGCCCAGGCATCTGACACCGTGCGAACGGTCCGGTCTTGAGCCGTCCCCGCTCTCCAAGGCCCCTGGAGGCTCCCGACCCCAAAATTTATCTGGGCTTCGCGCCGCGGGATGTGCCGTGCTGCTCCTGGACGGGAATGTCATCGTACAGCTGGGGCCCGACCACAAGAAGCCTTCCACAAGAGACCCAACCCTGAGACCCCAGGGCGTCCCTTGATTTTTGGTGTGGGAGCGTCACGCTTCCCATCGCAAAACTATTGAAACCCAAGAGACCCAGGGCGCCCTGGAGGCAAGCAGGGTGTTTCTTGGCATGGGCCCCCACTGTACTCTAACCGTGTCTCCTCATGTCTCCTCATGTCTCCTTTTCCTCCTCCGCGGCCGCTCTTCTGCTTGTCCAGCCGCAGATGCGCTTAGAGTCAAAGACATGGTTACAATCAAAACTCACAGTGCGCACCGATGTCCGTAGCGCGCCCTTGCGTCCTTACCGCTGCGGCCCGTCCTTCGCGGTTTTCACTGGCCAGCCCTTCAGGGTGTTGGCAGTCCGCCGCCCAAACAATGCCAACTTCGGCGTCCAAGGCTGTGGCGTCCCTGCCGCCCGTCCTTAATATTTGTTTCGACTGTAAGAAGCGGATCTACAAGGAAACTCAAGCCAGCTTTCGCTCTGCATCTCGAGCAAACGCTGGGCCAGCCTCGCGCGCGCTGCCCCCGTGCAGCCTTATGGGGACCGAGCAAAGCCGGGCCGGATCGACCGAGGCCGCCGCAGCTCCGCCGAGGCCAGGGCGCAGGCGGGAGGCTCTCCCACGACACTGCGGCCTGCTGGCCCGCAGCCCGCTCTGGCCCGCACGCGGCGACCCGCACCGCTGCGACCGTCCCTGCTCTGCCAAGAAGGAGGGAGGACGGCGACGCCGACGACGACAACGACGAGGGAGGAGGGACGACGACGACGACGACGACGACGACGACGACGCGGATCCCGGGGCCCGAGGCGGGCCCCGCAGAGGGCGCTCCGCCCCAGGAGCCCGCGCCCGGCGCCGCCGCCGCCGCCGAGAGGGGCGCCCGCCGTGCCGCCCGCCGACGCGGCTCTCAGGCAGAGGGCTTTCGCCACGCGATGCGAAGTTCCCCCCCCCCCACTTGATATACTCCTCCTCCTCTTGATATACTCCTCCTCTTCCTCCTCTTGATATACTCCTCCTCTTCCTCCTCTTCTTCCTCCTCTTCCTCTTGAATCCCCCTCCTCTTCCTCCTCTTGATATACTCCTCCTCCTACTCCTCCTCTGGTTCGCATCACGTGGCGGATCAGAGTCGCCGAGCTCCTGTGGCACGGCCCGATCGGTGGTGCCGGCGGCACGGCCCGGGGGGTTCTCGCCGAGCCCTGTGGCGCCAGCCAGCGCGGGCGGGTGCATTCCGCCACGGTGCGGCGACGGCGGCGACGACGGCGACGCGCCAAGCCCCCGCACCTACTGGAGCGCCTCCTGACCAGGATTTCGGAGCGAATGCAGCCGCGGCGACGAGGGCCCACCCGGAGGCTTCGCAAGGGCGAAGCCCCATAAAAACGCCTGAAATGCTCCGCACACGGCGACGACGACGCCGCCGACGCCGCCGACGCCGACGACGACGCCAACGACGCCAACGACGCTGACGCAGAAGCCGGCGCCGACGCTGACGCCGACGCCACCACTGCAAACGACGACGCCAACGACGCCGCCGATGCCGACGACGACGACGCCGCCGACGACGAAGACGACGCCGACGACGACGACGACGACGACGACGACGACGACGACGACGACGACGACGACGACGACGACGACGACGACGACGACGACGACGACTGGACGGCGGCCTCGGCTTCCGATAGGTACAGGGAACGCGGCAGCGGCGGGAACTGCGGGTCCACGTAGCGCTCCCCAGTCGCTGCGCAGTGCCTCCGATGTGATGTCGTCGTCGCCGTCGTCGTCTTCGGAGGAGGAGGGGGAGAGCAGGAGGAAGAGGATAATTACAAGGAGGAGAAGAAGGCGACGTCGGAGAGGTCGAGCGGAGCGGGGTGCATATTGCTCTGGGCACGATCGTGCTCACTGCGCACTCGCAGAGCGACTGCGACACGGGTGCAGCCTGCGCGCGCAGTGCCTCCCTCCGAAAGGCCGTCGGAGGCGCAACAGCGGCACCGCGCACGGCCGGCTTCTGTGCCAAGAGTGAAGTGGGCAGTCCGACGGCATAAGGTGTGGCCGACCTTCCCCCAAGTACGTCACAGGGCGGAGGGGGCGCATACCTGACGTCACACATTCTGGCTGAAATGCGAGCGACTGTGTGTATGTATGTATGTATGTATGTATGTATGTATGTATGTATGTATGTATGCATGCATGCATGCATGTGTATGTGTATGTGTGTATGTGTGTATGTGTGGATGTGTGGATGTGTGGATGTGTATGTGTATGTGTATGTGTATGTGTATGTGTATGTGTATGTGTATGTGTATGTGTGTGTGTATGTGTGTATGTGTGTATGTACATGTTTATGTGTATGGGTATGTGTTTGTGTGTATGTGTGCATGTATATGTGTATGTGCATGAGCATGTGCATGTGCATGTGCATGTGTTGTATGTGTATGAGTGTGTGTGTGTGTGTCTATGTATGTGTTTGTTGTGTTGTGTTGTATGGCGTGTACTGCGTGTGGTGTGAGGTGTGCGTATGTGCGTGTTGTGTGTATGGTGTTGCGTGTTGTGTGTCGTGTGTTGCGTGCTGTGTGTCTTGTGTTGCGTGTTATGTGGTGTGTCTTGTGTGCTTTGCGGTATGTGTTTGTGTTGTGTGCGCTGTGTTGTACCTGGTGTATTGTGTGGTGTGTGTTGTGTGCTGTGTGTTGTATGTGTTGCACGTGTTTTTTTTTCCCAAGCGCTATTTTGGGAGGAGAAGGAGGAAAGCTGAGGGGAATGAACGCGCGACGAGAGCTGGCCGCAGTGCAGAGATGAAGGCAAAAACCTGCAATAGCCCCGGACTCGGTCAGAGAAGGGGAGTGAGGAAGGGGGGAGAAGAGCACACCTGCCTGAAGATACGAATTCCCACAAAACGTATCATCCTGAATGGGAACATGCCTGCATCGGCCACGCGGCCGGGACAAGCAAGCGCTATCCGTGACAATCATTGCCTGGGCATTTGCCCAAAGCTGGGGCGACCAAGTGAAACCAAAAATGACAACACATTCAGAGCCTCGCCCTCAGATGTTGTATGTGTTGCATGTGTTGCGTGTGTCTGTGGTGTGTGTGTGTGGGTGTGTGTGTGTGTGGAGGTGTGCTCGGTGTGATGAACCCTGGGTTACCCCGCCTGGCTGCCGCGTGAGTGCCTGGCCGCCCTCTTGCTCTCGCTCGTCTGAGTCCGACTCCGCCGCGTCGCTGCGCGCGCGGCGGCGACAACAAAAAGTATGAGTGTGAGGGAGCGTCCCTCTCTTCCCCCAGCGTGGCTTTCTAGTTCTCGCATGCGTCAGCTGCAACTAAAGCTCCGCCTTCGGCTATGTCCGACGCTTGCTGTGAATCCTGCCTTATGCTTGTGTCCACAATGGTGGGTACTTATTCTACGTACAGAGTCATGATAGGTTATCAATACTGGCTGGAAGCGTTGGAGGAATGCGTGTGTGTGTGTCTGTGTCTGAGCAGAAAAGTGGCCTCCCGACGTCACGCGATGGGGGGAGGGGTTGCCCGTGCCAGGGAATGCAAGGTGGACAAAGGCAGGCGTGCACGCAGGCGGAGACGGGCAGGGAGGAACACCCCAGCGCGAAGGAACACAAGCTAGACCCCTGCACCCACTGACGACGGCAAGAGGGGAGGCGCATAGCCACCCCTCGGAAGCAATCCACTGCCTTGTAGGCCAGACTCCCTGGTGTATACCTGGCCAGGCGTGGACACCTGGATGCCATGCGGAATGGATGCAGACGCTGCCACCCATCTGGCGGCCCTCACCTCTCAGCGCCCTCCACAGAGGCACAAGACCACTCCGAACGCTGGACAAGTCCGTCACCAGTTCCGGCGGGTTTGCCTTCCCTGGGTGGGATCCGGGAGGCAGGAAACGTGCTCGAGGCAAGGCCTTTGAGCCAAACGTGGCAGCGAATCCTGCTGTCCTGCTGCCGCTCCTCTCCCCACGTCTTCTCCCCAGAGCTCTTATTCCACCGCGCGAGCAGGATGACAACATGATGTCGGGCAGGCCGGACCAGGGACCTCGTTCCCCGAAAGGCTCGGAGCGGAAGGGTGAAGCCTGCGTCGGGCGCGACCGCGCACGGTGCGCGCCCGCGTCGCGGCTGCGGCGAGCGAGAGCTGGCGTGCGTGTGCGCTCCACTGCTGCTGGGCCAGTCGTGCAGCGGTGTCCCCCCCACCCCGCTCTCCGACGTCGCGTGGGGGCGAAGAGGGGAACGGGGGCGCAGAGGGGAGGGAGGCTTCCCTGCAGCGGACAAGCCTCCTCCCTCGTGCCCTCGTGTGGGGGGGGTACAGGAGGAGGAGGGTGAGGAGGAAATGGCAATGACGTAGGAGGAAGAGGAGGAGGTGGAGGAGGAAGAGGAGGGAGGAGAAGGAGGGAGGAGGAAGGAGGAAGAGGGAGGAGATAGGAGGAGGAACAGGCGGATGGAAGACAGAGTGGGAGGGAGGAGACGGAAGGAGGGAGGAGGACGAGGAGGAGGAGGAGGAGAGAGACGGGAGGTCGCCATCGTCGAGCGTGGGCTCAGGAAATGATCCCGTGCTCCGCAGACGCCGGTCTCCTGTTCCTGCAGAAAACAGAAGTGACAGAAGACGAAGGGGAACCCTCCTCCTCCC